CTTTCTGAGGATGCATTTGTCAAGGAGTGGAGAAAGATTTCCAAAGATGGATATTTTCCCCTTGACCCCCGGTGTTTTTAATTCTAATTTCGTTGGAATTGATCAAAACTCCCTAAAATGTGCAATTTTTTGAGGAAATTGGGCCATGTTAACAAGAAATGCACGCGAAATTTGAGGTTTTTAGGCACTTTCAGGAGATGAAAGGGCATTTATAAAGGGGTGGGGGTGGGGAAGATTTTTCAAAGATGGATATTATCTCCTTGTCCCCCAGTGGTTACGCCATAGGGCAGCAAAAGGAATTATGACAGTTTTTGAAGTGGAGAAGGGGTTGCATGGGTGTTGTGAAAAAACCCACTTAAATAAAACAAAATTGATTCCCTTAACGCCCTGGAGCAACTTAATATAAAGGCTCCCACCGCGTATAAGTGCCTATTATTAGTTACCATATGTAGGGGCCTATATAAGATGCTATAGTGATGGGATAAAACAAAATAATATTCGTAGCAGCGGCTACATAAAATATGTTATACTGTCATTGTGTAGGCCTATATCATGTTGGTCGAATAAATTAATGGAATGGAATGAAATAAAAGTACAGTATTCTCATTTATATTTACATATCGAACTACCGTAAAACCTCGAATAGAATATTAGAATTTCTACTATAAAATTGTATAAGACTATTGAAGATAATGCCCGGACGAGATTATTGGACAAATACACTATAAATTACATAACAAAAATCAAGCTTTTTATATAACTTAATACCATAAATTAAATAGGCCTATGTATAATTTATTAAACGTGTGTGCATTTTCAACTTATTATATTCATTTTTAACGATTTTCAATCTTCTAATGATAGCCGGCGTTAACTTTAACGTACCGTGGGCCCTAAATACTTAAACGGCTTCTACAGAATACATGTCACGAAATCCTGGTGACCAAACCCAGTCTATTTCGATTATGATGCGGGAATTATTTTAACCATGCTACAAAATAATAGTATATATACCGACACGCTACTCATTGACGTCAGTAGGAATAGGCCTATATCAAAAAAATCCCATAATTAAAAGGGATTGGGCTTCTTTTCGAGGGGCTCCTTTTCAAGATTACACTTTTGTAAGCTAAAGAGGCGGGTGGTGGGGGGGGCTTCATTTCGAGATGGGCTTCTTCTCGAGATCAAGTCCATGTTCTATTCAAGGTTTTACGTTGTGTATTATAATTGACATGACTCACGTACGTCTATTTGTTTGTAGGCCACAGGACTAGGCTGTTTTAGCAAAATCTCTACAACAACGACACTTCGACTCAATATAAGCCAGTGATCTGTCTTGATTATTTTTTATTGCTTTAATTTTTATTTTATTTCCATACCAACGCACAGAGGTAAAAAAATAAAATAAATAAATGAAATAATAAAAGATACATATAGGCCTAAAGCTAAAACATTCCAATAATATTTTACATAAAAGGCACCATCTAGATGTGTATAAGAGACAGCCGTAAAGGAGGCACAATCCGGGAGAACAAACAATTTGTCCTAGGCCTATATGTATTTTCTACATATTAGTAGACTCTAAACTCGATTAAATAAGCCTTTGAAACACCTAATTGTCAAACTTTTCGGGACTTCGCCCCCTGGACCACTTTCGTAACCATTTAATCGAAGCCCAACCAATGGCGTAACGCCTATGGGCTCTCATGCGGCAGTCCGCAGGGCTCTTGAATTCTAGGGGGCCCGAAGGGGCCCTACCCATAGGTTTCTCGATCTAGCACCAAGACCAAAAGGACTTTGTTGATAAAAAAAAACCCCATAATGTGTCTCTGAAATCGACTGTAGGGCATATATCATATTATAATGATTAAAGAGAAGGGGCCCCGTCGGCCCGATGGAACCCCCCTGATGGAACCCCACTAAATTAATAATGGAGATAAAAAGAAAATTATATTCACAATTTGAAGTCTGTGTGAGTGCCATTTCAGGCCATCTAGTCGTGCCATAGCAATACATTTTCTTATCTCATCTCCCACAAGGGCAACGGCATAATGTGTGTCTGAAATCGACCGTAGGACATAGGCCTATCATCCATGAGTGGCGGAATAAAGAGTGTGGGGGAGGATGGGGGGGGGGCTGCTGGCCCGGGGTCCCACTAAATTTGTAAACAATTTTTAACTGGAGATAAAACTTAAGAAAATTCATAATTTTGTCTGTGAAGTGCTATTTCCGGCCACATACAGTAAAGGTGCCATATTCATAAATGTTCTTACCTCAGCTCCAACCATGGTGGGTCTGAGGTGGTATAGACTCTCCAACTGTGAAACTCCCTCCCTGGCCTCAGTTTTCTGGATGCATATTATATCATTTATTCGTCGTTAAAAAAAAATTAGGGGCCCCAGTTTCAGAAATACACAGGGCCCCCGGCCCCATCGTTACGCCACACTGTTAAAAATTTTCCTGTAAAATTACCGTCAAAATACTGGCAACCAGGACGCCAGTACTTTACCGTAATGTAAAATTACATTTCCGTTAAAAATAAATTTCTGTAAAAAATACGGTAAATTACTGTTGATCGAAATACGGTAGTCAAACGTAATGTAAAATCAAAGGTACCGTTATTAATTTATTCCTGTAAAAATACCGTCAAAATAAACCAGGACGCCAGTACTTTACCGTAATGTAAAATTACATTTACCGTTAAAAATAAATTTCTGTAAAAATACGGTAAATTACTGTTGATCGAAATACGGTAGTCAAACGTAATGTAAAATCACAGGTATCGTTATTAATTTATTCCTGTAAAAATACCGTCAAAATACTGGCAACCAGGACGCCAGTCGTCAACCGTAATGTAGAATCACAGGACCGTTAATAATTTATTCCTGTAAAAATACCGTCAAAATACTGGCAATCAGGACGCCAGTCGTCAACCGTAATGTATAATCACAGGACCGTTATTAATTTATTCCTGTAAAAATACCGTCAAAATACTGCCAATCAGGACGCCAGTCGTCAAACGTAATGTAGAATCACGTTTACTGTTCATAATTATTCCCTGTCAAAATACGGAAAATTACTGTCAATCTCAATGCCGGTCGTCAACCGTAATGTAGAATCACAGTACGGTGAATAATTAATTCCTTAATAATACGGTAAATTACTGTCAATGTTAAATGTCGTTCGTCAACCGTAATGCAAAATCACAGGTACCGTAAATAAGTAATTCCTGTAAAAATACTGTAAATTATTGTCAATATGAATTCCGGTCGTCAACCGTAACGTAGAATCACAGGTGACGTAAATAATAAGCTTGTCAACTGTTAATAATATAGAATTACAATTTTAAATTTATTAAAAATAATTTCTGTAAACATATAAATATAAATTACTGTCTAAATTACTTTTGCAAAAATTCCCACTACATTTTTGGTGGCTAACAAAAGTAAACAAAATAACAAAAATTGTTTATAAAGTCTATAGAAATGTTTTAAAGAATCTTCATTAGACTGTTTTTTTTTTAATTATATTTGTAACTACAATACACGCCTTTGTTGAAGAAAAACGAGCCTCAACAGATGTCTGATGTACTTTTTCTTACTTATTAACTATCATGAAAACTGCAGAACAAAATGTAGTGAAATCTTGGTTACTATAATAATAAATCTTGAAATGGTACATATTATTATGCCAATCAGAATATTTTGTAATAGTATGTCATTCCGATGCTGTATTTCTTACTGTAATAATAAATTATGAAATACAATGTCTATGAATAATCAGAATAAGAGAACTTAGTT